TGCTTGGAAGCTTAACCTCCCTGATGCCAGTGGGTCAATAGATGATACTTCATCTCCCACTGCAAAAGGCACTCTTCAGAAAGTGGCTGTTCAGGGACATTTTCTCCTTCCTCCCCCTTCAATAACATCATTTTTGGTACCCGGTATTTATGTGTCACTAATCATGCCAAGATCTGAAGTAAAAGCAATGCATTTCCTTAACTTTGAAGTCTGTACTTAAGGCTTTGACAAGGGTCCCTTAAAGTGGCTCTGAGGAATTTGCAAGGTTTGGGTGAACATTTACAGGCCATTATAGATATGTCTAGAGGCCCATTCTAGTGTGTAGACAGTAATAGATTAGCACTTAAATATGTTGCAACCTCTAGTCTTCATTTTTTTATCATCAGAGAAAGAATGCTAGGTAGGCTTGTTTCCATAGTATTCTGTCCATTATGTTAGAGCTCTTAATTACAGTTTCTCATTTTTAAGTCCTATCTTCAGTTTTCAAGCATTTTGAATGCATTTGAAAGCATTAACATTTGCAACCTAGCACTAACTTCGGTAGTAAAAAGGTAATTTATTTGCTTAGAGAAGAGTTCACTTCCTAGCATGAAACACTCAAAAGAAACTAAATGTAGACTTTGTCTTAATAGTTGAAAATTCAAAATAAATGAAGCTTATGTAAAATGGCACTAACAGACTAGAGCTACAGTGGACTGCTGAAATTGGATTTGGTTAGCTATAAACATAATTAGCTTAAAGCATTCTAGCTTGCCATGCAGTGTGAGCTCTCATAGGCTGGGATGTGATAATGCTTTGCTCTTTTGCATTTTAACTCCTTGTGGAGATGCGAAAGCCAGCTGATCGTAGGCTTTGTAGAAGCTAAATTAACCACGGGTTCCTTGGGGGTTAGTGGCAAACTGTGAGGTTTATTTGGTGTTGAAGTGTGCTAGAGATAACGTGACAGTAACCTAAAATGCTGTACTCGCCTCCTACCAATTCTGAGCGCAGCCAGTATTTTTAAACATCTTCAGAAACATAGGTTGTATATGCCCTTAATATTCTCATGAATGAAATGTTAGTGCTTGATTTGACCTGAACAGTATATACAAACAAGATGATAATATTGTAAAGTTGTATACAAAATACTGATGTGGTTTAGAATTTTTGCAGCATTTTTATTTCTACAAGACAATGCCCATTATGTGGAATTGTGTTCATTTAATCCAGTGAGTGATGCTGCTTGACCTCAATCTTTGTTGTAAGTGGGTTGGAATCGGTCAATAAGTAGGCATTTCCACACCAGTGAAACACTTAGATTTATACACATGGGACCTTTATAAAATTCTAAGAATATCTGTACATGTGTTAAATCTCTATAGAACAGGCCTAATGTGCAGTCTCTTTCCCTTTCTCAGATGTACAGATCGCTTGAAACAAGTGAGCCTGTGTTCTCACAGCATGCAAACACTGCTTGATGAATCCTTCCACCACTGAGTTGTTTCCAAATAATAAATTCAGAACCTTCAGCTTTTGCCTTTCATCTGACAATCTCAAGCTCTGCAAAGCTGAGATGGCTTTCACTATCCCTCTTCTTCTCCTTTTTCCATTTTCCATGTGTATGTGAAACATTATATTTGCAGAAAAGTAAGGGAAAGTTGCATACAGGACATCCTATTAAATTGTTCATTGCATGGGGTGGCTATATCCCTTCACTTCCTCTTTTTTACCCTCCCAGTGCCTTTCTTTAAGGGAGAATGTTTCAAGAGAGGTATTTCAGAAAAGGGAAAAGGGGGAGAAGGGCCATTTTAATCTCTTACCCCCCGCCCCAAAAAAAATCATTATGTAGGATACATCTGAGGACTATAATCTTAGTATTTAGAATTGCAGAGGAATACAGTACATAGCAAGTATTAACACCACACCATGCAGAGTAGTTAGAACTCTCCTATTTTTGCAGTATCTGAGTTTTCTAATATATATAGAATATAGACAAACTGACGTATTTCCTTTCTTGTATTCTTTTAAAAAAGTAACTTCCAGTAGAGGTGGCTTACATCTTCAGCAAGGTTTTTAGTACTTTAGCCTTCTGCATTATTACTTCTATTTAGAACTCATTGTAGATAAGCATCTGAAAAAAGAAATACAATAAACATTTGTGTTAATTATATCGTTTCCTCCTACTCTTCTCCCCTTCACCATATGTTCTTTTCTCTCCATGCCTCTCAACTGACTTTTATTAGGGCCTGATACGTGTCTAATCACACACCTCAAAGTATGCTCTGATGATGCAAATGGGACCCTGCTTCTGCACTCTTTTGAAAGTGTCAATATATCTAAGATAGACAGAGGAAAGAACAGTGGGATTAATTCATCAGGTAGTTACTGTGTGTATTTCCCTGGGTCTGTATTTCCTACTTCAGCCTTTGTGTCAGGCTTTGTGTCTCATATTACACATTGCCTTTGACCTGGATTTTTTGTTTGTTTGTGGGTATTTTTTGGTGTTTGGAGTGGGTTGGTTTGTTTGCTTTTTTTTGTTTCCCCCTCCACACCAAATCCCTTGGTTGTTTTCCCAGATGTGGTCCTCTGAAAAACATTTGGGAATTCGTCAAGTTTCTCTGACCATGTCTGTGACTTTCTATTATAACATTGATTCACGTGTCCAAATTTTCTTTCTGCTTTCATGGGGAAAACAGCTTCTTTCATTATCCGTGAGATACTAAAATGCACCATTGTGCTTGATCATCAAAGACAGTAGGAAATTAGATGCCATTTTTATCCCTTAAAAATGGGGGACCAGGAGCAGAGCAATCCAACTTAATACACTTGTATGGGGAGCTCTGCTTCTGAGACAACTGCCACGTAAGTAACTCACCTGAACTTACTGCGAAGATGCACTTTGGTTTCAGAATATATATTTGCTTTGAGCATAAACATTTTCCTTCTCTGGCCAGTCATTTGTACCTACATTTTTTTAGTGGGATCAGCCATAATTCCAGATTTAGCAGTTATCTATTACAGCATAAGGACACGATAGAAATGCTACATTACTTCCAAAAGATAAATTCATTACTATGCTTCTTTGAAACTTAGCTTTCTGCTGCTGTTGCTCCCAGACATCGTAAGGCTACACTGAAAAATGAAGCACACTGCTCTATCCCCAATATAAAGGACTGAAACCCTTCAGCAGAACTTATCACTTATTTTTTCTATGTTTTCCTTGGTCCTTCCTTACGAAAACCCACTTAGGGAGGGTTTCTTGCATCCTTCTGAGAACAGTGTGGGGAAAAATGCTGACAAAAATTTTAAACTGTCTGTCAAGACTGCAGTGATCTGCATATTAGGAATAGTCAGTAGTGGTCAGGCCAGGATGCAATAGTGTGACAGTGTGGTGCCACTTCCAGTGGTTTGTGTGTTATGGTACAGCCTTGCTTCCCATTCACTGAATTATCGAGAAGAACTGATTTGCTGCACGGGCATAACCACTGTGCATTAATGAAAGATGCTGAAAGCACCCTATGGTATAGTGCACACAAATGTTTGTTAACAAAAAAGAAGGTGGACATGCTTGTGCTATCAAGCAAAAATTTCTTTTTTGAGTGAATTTTTTCCTTAGACTAGCAATAGTATATACAGGATTTCAGTATTAAACAGATGTGGATGTCCAGTTACACACACCCCAAAATAATAAACTGTAGATCTGATATCGTATTGAATGAATGATAGATGTAAATAAAGTCAAGGTCTGACAAGTGACTTTATCACCTTTTCTTGCCAATGATTAGTGGCAGGTTTAATACATTTTAAATTTCTCAGGCCTGTTGAATGCAGGCACCTTGTATGTGCTTTCAAAAAGTTTCTAGGGCTTCCAGTAGTTCTTTGAAAAATGAAGCTAGCTGTTACTTATCACCAGGGCACTGTGTTGACTTGAAGCAGATAAGGATCTGTGTTAATGTAAAAACAGTTTAAGTCTCACAAAATGAACCTTAGAATTTCTTTCCTGACGTTGTTTAGCATGTAAAAAGAGCTAAACAGCACAAATATTGAGGCAATCCACCATTCCTGTTTAGTTCTTAGCTTGAAAAGATACTATTGTTTATGTAATATGTTCAAAGGGGCACATAATTTATTATATACTGTTAGTCAGCCATGTGCATTTTTACCTTGCTGCCTGTAGGTAAGCTGAACACCTGGTGACATGGCAGCATGTTTAAAACACTGCTGAGAAAATCCGCAGTAACAGCACAGATAATAATAGCTCTTTCAAAATTGAGTAATACACAAAATAAATATCACTTTCAACAAAATTTGCTTTATTGCCTTTGTATGAAGGTAATAGTACAGAGAGAAATATGATCTATTTACTGTTCCTGGGGGGGATGGCCGGTGGGTGGTAAAAGTTGCAGGGTACTGTGCTACTCTGCTCTACACGGTACCCATAAGATGGTCTTTCTGTCTTTAAACTCCTAGTGTCTTCTGAGAAATGAGAACGCTTTTGTCAGCCAGGTGTTGAATAGAGGTTTTGATATTTAAAGCAAACTGTTCAGTGCTCTTAGAAATGCTAATGTGGAAAAAAATACAGGTACTACATTTTGAGCTTCAAGACAGAAAATGTTAAACAAGACAAGAACGGTATAGAAAGGCAGAGTGAATATTTTGAGGTGTTAATTCTAACTACAGAGAGGAGAAACTAGAATTCTAGAGCGGACACGAGCTATATTGTGTGATGCAAGGATGACTCAGCCCACGCTCAGACCATCTTCAGGTCTTGCCGTACTTATTTACATTAAAGTTCATTGCTATTTTAAATCTGTGCATTTAGCGGAGAAGAAGGTGAGAAAAAAGCAGAGGGAGAAGAATAAAAGCAAAAGGAGGGAGGGTAGATTTTAAAACGCAACAACAAAAAGACCTGGACCAATCCCTTCTGATCCCCACACTGCGCTCTCAGTGGAGGAGCTTGTAATCCTATATTTGCTATATCAAGAGGATTCTTCTATGAGCACAAATTAATAATTTATTCATAGGCTGGAGTCAGCCCGCATTGATTTACTTATGCTGCATTTATTTTCATTCATAAGCCTTCGCTAGCCGGGATCTCTCGGATAGTGACTCGCTGCGGCGCTCCGGCGTGGGAGGAAGCAGCAAAACGTGCCTTTATGCACAAGGACGTGCTATACATGTATGACTCAATTAAATGTGCGAGCCTGACCTAAACCCGGGGCTCGCTCCGGGAACCCGCCGCTCCCGCTCCTCGGCGATGCTGCCTCGGCGGGGACCGCTGCTCTCCTCCCTCCGCCTGCCTGCGCCCTCGGTGCGGCGCCGCGGCCGGGATGCTCCGCGCTCCCAGCAGTGCAAGGGCTGAGCTCCGGCCATCCTTCGCCTCTCCGGGCTGTGTGACAGACAGCTGCTTGTCACGCAGCGGTGCCCTGCCTGAATTGGCCGGGTCTCCGGTGGGTGTGCACGGCCCCCACCCCCCGCCCCTGCCAGCCCTGCCGAGCCCTCCCTGGCTCAGCCCCCGGCAATGTGCAGCGCTCTCTTCTCGCCTTCCTGGAAGGGCTCAACTACACTTTCCGCTCCTCCAGACTTTCTCTGCTTTTGCCGTACAGAGGCACCCTCCCTCTGGTCCAGCTCCTCCTGTGCCTGCCTCTCTGTCTCCGCGCTATCCCGTTAAAAGGCTGCTGCTCCTGCTCCACTGATCCAATGCACTGGCTGACTTGATCTGGGATGAAGGCTGGAGGTTATCGGCGCGGGAAAGGAGAAGAACTCTAGGCAGCTTTCCATTTGCGAAGTGAGCAGTAATTGCAAGAAGACAGCCTCCCCAGTTGGAATCAATAGTCTGCTTTCTTGCTGCTAAGGGCACTTTGGAGCAGCAGTAGGTCACTGAAGTAACTTCAGCACACTGCTGACTGCGGAGTTGTAAAGAACTACATGCAAGTGGCTGCAGTAGTGCTGGAAAACGCTTTGCTGTTACCAGGGACACAATAGTTTTCAAGTCACTAGAGCTTTGCTTCTGGTCCGCTCCTTCCATTACACAGGGTCATCCTTTGGAGGGATGAGGATGGAGCTGTGATTGTTCTCCAGTGTTGTTCTAGTGGAGGGGGCAAGAGTGGGGAAAGAGGCTGTAGAAGCAAAACCCTACTGCTGCTGAACTCAGGTTCACTCGAATTTCCCCAAATCTTTCCAGGCACAGAGAGGCACAATGGCAGAAAATCTGAATCTTCTTCGGGCTTTTGGGGGGGTTTTCTTTATCTTCTGGACAGCTTTTAACACAGCCTTAGTGGATGTGGTTGGATCGGAGCAGCAGATCCCCTTGTCTGTGTAAGTGCTTTCATGCTATTCCTCTCAGGACCATGTTCAAGGATAAGAACTTGACTGCTCAAGTTCTTATGTTTTTGTATTGCAGATGTTTGACTGTTCAGGGCACCTTTGCTCCCCTGTGAGCTGTGTTTAAAGTGGGAGTCTCTAAGGCGCTCAGCACTACTTTGATTTTTATTGTAGGAGCGTGTGTTGTGGAGTATGTGGCCACAGAGTCTTAAATGCTTGTATTTACTGAAGTTGATGCTGTTAACTCTTTCTCTTGTGAGAATTTATCATTCAGATAAACGTTTTGCCATTTTATCTGCTGCTTTCCTTTCAATGGATGTATGTTATGTTGTGCCAAAGCATGTTTCTGTACAAGTTGATTCTTTAAGTTTTAACAGGTTGGTATTTTCATATCAGAGGCCTTACCTTAGCACAGTGTCTACTTTGTGCTTATACTTGAGCAGCTTCACTGATCTTTTGCTCTGCTTGGGTTCCTTAGTGAGCTCACTAATGCAAAATTGCTGGGATCCTTGTGAGTGCAGCTGAAGCTGTTACAGTCTGGGTTGCTTTGCTATGACATGTGTATTACATTTCTTCCTGTCTCTTTTTTTTTTTCTTCACAGTGTAAAGCTCTGGGCCTCAGCATTTGGTGGAGAGATCAAATCTATTGCAGCCAAATACTCAGGTTCCCAGCTCCTGCAGAAGGTAAGGATTTCTTCAGCTGTAATAAGGAAGGTTTTAACAGAGAAAATGGAGGCATATTTAATTTTTTAAATGATTAGGAAAGCAGTGCTGTACGTGCTTTTGTCCAAGATCTATTTTTGTATTGCATACTAGTCCCTGATGACTCTTACATTGCACTGCACTATCTGTGGAGTCCTTGGTTAAACTGATATTTTTCAGTTTGGATGACTTTTTTTTTTTTTTTTTTTTTCATCATTAGAAAGTAAACTCTGACACTTTTATTTCTTGAAGCCTGGGCTTCAGCCCGGGTTGCAGGTATTTAATCTGGTTGCTGCATTGTGATGATGATGTTTCTGTGCAGAAACAGCTGTTTCTTATGAAAAATATTAACTTCATTCAAGGAGCAGAATTAGTGCATCTTGTGTTATTTCACCCTGTGCTGTTTGTTCGCAGTCCACTGTATCAGGGAGAAGGCGGCTGCACTGTTGTTTGTCATCTCTGCAGTTTTTACAATCCCATTATTCCCCCAATCATCTCAACCCAGTGCTGGGATGTATTACATCATTACAGATAAGGGGAATGAATGTGGTTATCTTCTTGCTCAGCTGCACAGCTGGGTAATAAGCTGGTGAAGTATTGCAAAAACTTGAGAAATTGGTATAAGTCCACTTAATTGGGGCAGAGGGTAATGAAAAAGCAGATTTGAGTATTAGGTATATCAAGGACTGTGTCTACTCTAATTTAAATGTGCAACCTATAGTAAAGTTCTGTATTATAGATGATTTATTTTTACCACAGTTGCTGAAAAAATATGAGAGCAAGAGGAATATGTTAAAAATAAGACTGTGATTTTGAGGCATTGAATATGTGATCCTCGAAATGCAATATGTAAATGGAAAAACATTGAGACGTTCACTGATTAGAGCACTCAGTCAACACAGTTATTTCTGCTGATTTTTTTGTAGACATGATTTTTAATGCTGAGTACCACTAATTTTATTTTTTGTCTGATTTCAAAGGAAATTATTCCTTGAGCTTGTAGCATTTATTTTGAAAGGCTTATATATGTGTGAAATTATGTAACAGACAGTATATGTAGCAGCTGAAATAAAAAGCTTGTGCTATCATTTTAACACATTTAAGGCAACTAACTTAATTGCCAAAGGCATATGAGTTCCTTAGCAGTATCTGTCTTTTCAGAGTCGTGTACCCAGGACTGTAAAATATGAATTTTACTAAGCTAAAATATGGAGCTATTAAGAACAAAAATACTTGAGGTCTCTTACTGCCTTTCAGGGCCTTTAAATGGCTTCACTTCAGCATGTTGGGCTAACTTTCATTTTATTCTGAAAACCTGGACACTCAATATTTATTATACTTCTATCTCACGTTCTTTAAAGTCTGTGTAGTCTTACATTGTCACGGTTTTGTACGAACACCCTTAATTTAAAAGCAGATGGATCTTTCAGTTTTGATTAGTTTCTACTAAGGTATTATTGAAAGGCTTTAATTTTTTTATTGGGCCATAACAAACAAGTATCTTTATTTAACTTTGGAACTGTTCCATGCACAGCCTTTTTCGTGTAAAAAAAATGACTTTAAAAATTAAACCTACCCAATACAGATAGCCCAACATTTCCTAGAAGAATATGGTGTATATGGAATATACTGTGTTTTACAATCTTGCTAAAATCCACGAAGAATCAGTGTGAGATCCTTAATTGTTCTTCTCTTCCTCATGGTAGATACTGCTGCCATCCCTTCTGTAATGGTTTTTTTTCCCCTCTGAAGTAGTAAGATTGCTTCCTATTGGTTGTTATAACTGAAGGTAATTGGAAGCTATTCATTTTATCTTTTCATCAGCATCCTTTCTGTTTCACTAACAACCCTGTGCTCCTGTTTTTTGAAGGTGGACAGTGTATATTCATTACAAGCTATTTTGCTTTTGTTTCTTGCTTTTGTTATGATATTTCACTGTTGAATGAAAAAGACAAAATGCATGTTTGGCAGGTATTTAGAGCATTTTTATTCCTCTGTCACATCATCTGTTGTTTTTTTTTTTTCTTTTTTTTTTCTGTTCTGGTTACAGTAATTTTTATAAGATCTCTGTTGCTTTTTATTTTTATTTAGAATTCCAAGCATCTCTGTTTGTTTAAGCTTGCTATTTCCTGCTGGTGGTCATGGCAAATGAGCCTGGACGACAGATGACTTAAACGTGTATTTCTTGTATTGTTCTGATTTATATTTCTTCTGTAAGCTCGTAAACCATACCAAACTTCAAGATTTGCAAGCGTTTTCAACATGCAAAGTCAGTGACAGAAGTTGTCATAAGAGCTAAGGAGGTGATAGCATAGGAGGGCTGTAAATGTAAATGCTTTTTTTTCCCACCCTCTCTGTCCCCACTAGCCAGGCAAGAAGAATCTGTTTGGTGTTTACTGTGGGCTCTGGGTGATCAGAGTCCATGTCATTTTAAAGTCTGGATTCCACTTTTAGAAGCAGTGAGACTTCTGATATTACTGGAGGAATCCACATTTCCTGATTATGAATTAAGCATCATTAAACAAGTGAAGATATCAAATGTATGTATGATTATGGCTCTGGGCAGTATAGATTTCTCAATAGCCAGTGCTTTGGAGTACCATTTAGTTTAATAAAGGCTTACTAAATGAAAAATTAATGTAAAGGTTACTTAATTCATTTTGTCAGCATACATGGTGAGCACTACTTTCAGAGTGATGCACTTGAAATCGAGACATGACTGACAGTCTCTACTGCCCAAATGCTTTGCACATTAAGAGTCAGTTGACCCATACTAAAATTTCATTGAGCAAATGAAGTTATGAGATACTCAGTAAAGCAAAAATTTGCCAGGTTATAGCTGTGAATATTGATTTAGTTGTTACAATTCTGAAGTCTTACTGTACTGTAAACATCAAATGAATCACCAGCATTGGTGTCCTCTTGAGTTTATAAAAGATGCGTAAGAATACTTTTGTTGCTTTTTGAAACTATTTTAGAAAAAACCCGAACTGCTTACCTTATCTTAATTGAATGCTTCATTGTTTTATTCATTATGATAATCTTATCCAAGTATGTTGTTCTGCCTCCTAAAAGTAACTGAGTTATGTGATTTTTCCAAAATTGACTTTAGTTGAAATACAGACACTGCAAGTAGCTCAGAAAATGATAATAATAGTTCAGTAAATAACTTCAGCAATTATTATGAGCTTTTAAGCAAAATTAGCACTTAAATGTGTTCTACTCCTTGCTTTTAAAGAGATGGAAGACCACTGAGTGCACAATAAAAACACACAGGAGGAAATAGGATGGTATTATTCTTAATTTGCTTGATTTCTGGAGGTTTTACAGTTGTCATATAGATTTGGCAGTGCACAAGAAGCTTCTTGGTGCTGTAGAGATATTAACACTCTTCACCTCAGAAAATACTGCTGGGGGTAAAAATTGACTCAGATTTTGTTTCTTAGGTGCTTTTTATCCTCTTTAGACTCTCAAAAGACATCTGCCTTATTTAAATCTTGACGCTTCTTCACATTCCTTTCATAAACACTCTGTGTTTAGTGAGTCCTGGACTAAATGAGGGAGCACAGCCCACTGGCAAAGCCAGGCTTCATATATTAGGATGCAAAGTGAGGCTTAGATGCCAGAGAGATCTTCACTTCACCTGCTATGATTAGAGTTTTGGAAAAACAGACTTTGGGGAATGCTACTGTTCACGTTACAGTGTCCATGATATTAATGTGTTTTCAGTGCCACACTGTTGCAAAATAATAGCAATAATAACATGAAAGCATAAAATGCAGGTAATGTGCCTTCTGTTAATGTTAAAAATAATCGTTGTTATACAGTAAAGCTTTTCTCGAGTCAGAGCAGTGTCTGTTTCTCTGAACATGCAGCACAGTCTATGCTTTCTCAGGTTCCTTTTGAGGAGACTACATTTCCCCCCCCTCCCCCCTAAGTATTCAGAGCTTTGATAATTCTTGATTTTTTTTTTTGTCCTGAACAGTCAATATTATTTTATTGCCGATGTAGGAACAGTTTCTGACTGAAAACACCCTTTATTTTTTGGTTCTGCCAGGAAGGTTTCTTAATGATGATAGGCTTGTTTAGGGCTCTCTCAGATTTTCCTTATGTAAGTCGTCTCACGGAGCCTCCCCTGTTATGTAAGCACTGGCTGCTTTGGTCTGAAGCAGTCTGGAGTCTGCATCTGCCTACTCCTTTCAACAGATTCTTCATTGTGTTGGGAGTTCTCAAATCATTGTGTGTTCTCCAAGCAGGTTTTTCCATCAGGAGAGCATTGCTACTTTTAAAGATGCAGAGTTTTATCTCACTGACTGGATGTGCTGCTGTATCTCGAGAGTTTCTTACAACTGTGGAAATGCCAGTGCAAAACTAACGTAATGGGGTGATTTAGATCAATTAGCATTCAGCTGGTGAATCTGATTCATACAGTACATCTATCTTTAGTTCTAAACCGTATAATGGTGACTTAAATTCTTAGAGAAGTTTAGTCCAATTATCTTGACATTAATTGCCTTTCTTTTATTCAGCTGTACGTGGGTTTTGGTCTTTGTAGGCTGTTTCTTTGCTGAAGACACTGCAACTACTGCTTTGAAGGAAGGGGTCAGTAGGATTGAAACATGCAATTTAAAGAGAGACAGGGACTGACTTCTTGGGTATCAATTCAAACTTCTGCCAGCTGAGCAATTTTAAAACTGCAAAAGTAATACTGTTTTTTTCCTATCAAAAATAAGAGAAAAATCACAAAAAGATCTGTAGACATATGACTATAATTCAAAAAATGATAAAAAAACTCTGACCACCAAAACAAATACCACCCTCCCCTGCAAAAACACCCAAACCAACAGCAATAACTCCCTTCCCCCATCAACCAAAACCAACAGTTCCCCAAAGCCCAAATGTAAAATCCCACCGGCCAGGTAAATGATATGGAGCTTTACCAAAAGCTCTATTTGGAATTAATTTGTTATAATTCAAAATCC